TATCACACCTAAAATTAATTTTTCATGCCCCTCTGAAAATTCTATCCAAACAGACTCTGTATGTGTTACTTCAGACTTAATACGCGTTTTTATGCAACAGTTCAAGCGATCTCGGACATACAATGCCACCCCACCCCCCTTCCTGATACTTCTATCTACTTGGAACAATTTGAAACCCTGAATGTGACATTCTGCAGGCATATCCCGACTTTTTGAATTAAACCACGTCTCAGTAATGGCAAATACATCTATGTTACCTGCACTAGCAACTAGTCTCAACTCGTCCATCTTATTCCTAGCACTGCGACTATTTGTGTAATAAATATTTAATGACCCTCCTCTCTCTTTACCCTTCCTGCTCTTTTCTGTTATTCCACTAAACCTATTACTGTCCTTGTCAATTAGTGCCACTGGCTTTCCAATATCCACCTCATTTTGCCTATTACTAGTTCTCCTAGTACTCATGTTACTACCCTGCGACTTCACAGTTTTTCCCGCCAAAACCCATCCCACTAACTATTCCTAGTTTAAAGACCTAACAGCTCCCTCCACTGCGTTGGCCAGTGCTCCCACCCCACACCTAGATAAGTGAACCCATCCCTGGCATACATGTCATTTCTGCCATAGAAGAGGTCCATTGTCAATGAATGTTACCGCATTTTCCTTACAGTATTTGTCCAGCCAGCAATTGACACCAATTGCTCTGGACAACCATTCATTTCCAACTCCTCTCCTTGGCAAAATGCCACATATGACAGGTTTCCCACCCTTCCTCCTAATTATCTCTAATTGCTGACCTATACCTGCTAATCAGGTCCTCACTCCTACGTCTGCCAACATCGTTGCCTCCAGCACTGAGACAGATAATAGGATTGCTCCCATTACCTCTCATGATGTCATCCAGACGGCTAACAATATCCTTCATCCCAGCCCCAGGAAAACACACTCTCTGCCTCCTACTCCTATCCTTCAAGCAGAATGCCCTATCCAGGTACCTAATCTGGCTATCCCCAACAACAACAATGTTTTTACCTTCCTTGGCGTCGTCCGTCGTGATGCTCCGAGTAGTCGACTCACATTCGCCAGGTAGCATTACACCACTTGTAGAATTCGTCAAGACGTTCTCGATGGTCTTCGTTGGGGTTTCTAGGGATGTCTTACTCACGTCTGCCAATGCTTCTTTGGTGCTCGTTGTGGCATTCCCAGTAGAACACTCACATTCGTCAGGTAGCACCGAGAATGAGTTGGAAGTTTCCACGGTAGTCTTCTGGTTTCTCGTTGTTTTTGCCTCTCCAACCGTTTTCGAGGGATGCTCTTCTTTTAATCCAAGACAGTGAAACTATGAAAATGACTCTCCATTTTGAAGAACTAGAGAGGCGCAAGTATTGAAACAAAGGCAACAAATTCCTATGAGCAGTCAGCAACAGTACTTCGTGAGAAGGGCTGGGTTTGATTGGTATTGTGGGTATGGGAGTAAATTCTTGGGTAGTTTTGAGTAGGGGTGGTTTTGATAAGGACTTGCCTTGTATGGGCGAGTAGGGCTTTTGCAGTGTTCCTCCATTCTTATGTTCTTACATCCTCCCAGCACAGTTTCTAGCCACAGACTTAGAGTTGTGGTGAGGCCAGGTGAGTTGACTGGCCACATACTACCCTTCCTTCCCTCCACCATCACTATTTAAGACCTTTTCATCACCCTGCCTTGTCTTTGATATGAGCCATTGCACAAAAAGGAATACCAGTAATCCTGGAGGTGCTAATGAGCATTTTTAACCCTTTGAGGGTTTTGGTCGTACTAGTACATCTTACGCGTAGGGGTTTTTGACGTACTAGTACTCATAAATTCTAGCGGCCTCAAATCTAGTGGGAGAAAGCTGGTAGGCCTTCATATGAAAGAATGGGTCTATGTGGTCAGTGTGCACAGTCTAAAAAAAATCCTGCAGCACACAGTGCATAATGAGAAAAAAAAAACTTTGACCATTTTTTTTGAATAAATCAGCGACTTTGCAGTGTATTTTCGTATGGTATTTATTGTTGTATTCTAGTTTTCTTGGTCTCATTTTATAGAATGGAAGACATATTACAGACATAGAGATGATTTTGACTGGTTTTACAAAGAAAAGGTTTGCCTTGAAATTGAGCTCAAGTAGCACAAATGTTCGTTTTTTACCAAACTTCAAAAGTAAACAAATCGTGCCAAGCGTGCAATACACTTCAACTGGTGAGTCTAATATTCTTTCAAAAAGTGCACCAATAATATTTATACCATTTTTTACACTAATGCAGTAGTCTGCATAACAGTAAATCTTATATTTTTTGTGAAAATAAAAATTCAAAGTGGAAAGCAAAAGAATATAAGAGGGGCCTTGAGACGTGAATAATGACTAGAGGAAATGTCATTTTAGTGCCAGGAATGTCTTTCTTGTTTATTCTGGACCCTATTCGGAAATTGGCTCTTTTGAAATTTGGTGTGAAATTGGCAAAATTGCTAAATTCTGACCACTGTACTGGATAGTTGAATTTCATAAATGAGTGGTTTCTTGCACCCATTCGATAGAAAGAATGGAGTTCTAGCGAAATATTCATGTTTTTTGTCAATTAGTACAGTGAAATTGGCCGAAAATGGGGCTCAAAGTGGGCAAAATCGGCGATGCGTAAACATCGCCGAGACCGCTAACTTTGCGAGAGCATAATTCCGTAAGTTTTCTATCAAATTTCAAACTTTTGGTGTCTTTATGATCGGGAAAAGATTCTCTGTCTTTTCATAAGAAAAAATATTTTTTTTTTTTTTTTAATTTGGCCGACCCTGAGAACGAGTTTCGGAGAGGGCCTGTCGACCCTCAAAGGGTTAAAAGAAAAATGAGAAAACTATTTGGCAAGATTATTGTAGTTCCTGATGTTGCATTAACTATGCCCATTTTCTCTGGAAGGAGTTCCCTGCCCATTCTCTGTGCAAGCAATAAACGATAAATGCGTCAGATAAACGTTTCCCTCAAGCCTTTCTTAAGTAAGTTTATTTTTTATTTTTGTCTGGAATAAGAGAGATGCCAAACCATCTGTTGCTGGAAAATGAGTGTTGTCCATGTACCATTCATTTTTACAGTAGTTAACATAGTTTGCCAATTACTTGGCTTGCGTGCTTTTCTGTTTTATCCATAATGTTTTCTTGTACACAATGCAGTACATGCATGCTAAAGCTGTTTAAGATTTTATATGTTTTATTATAAGGTTGTGTATCTTTATACATATATGCTTCTAAACTGCTGTGTTCTGAGCACCTCTGCAAAAACAGTGATTATGTGTGAGTGAGGTAAAAGTGTTGAATGATGATGAAAGTATTTTCTTTTTGGGGATTTTCTTTCTTTTTGGGTCACCCTGTCTCGGTGGGAGACGGCCGACTTGTTGAAAAAAAAAGAAATAAGGTTTTTCAACAGCCTAATTAGAAACATTACTACAAGATGAGTATTGTATATAAAAAATGAAATATTTGCATTTATAAGTCAAATTTTTATTTTATTACGTAATTCAATGAGGGAGTATGGAAGAAGTGAATGTGTTCAGATATTTGGGGGTAGACTTGTCAGCAGATGGGTTTATGAAAGATGAGGTAAAGCATATAATTGATGAAGGAAAAAAGGTGAGTGATGCATTGAGGTATCTTTTTTTTTTTTTTCTCAACAAGTCGGCCATCTCCCACCAAGGCAAGGTGATCCAAAAAGAAAGAAAATCCCCAAAAAGAAAATAATTTCATCATCATTCAACACTTTCACCTCACTCATACATAATCACTGTCTTTGCAGAGGCACTCAGATACGACAGTTTAGAAGTCCCTCCAAGCTATCAATATCCCAGACCCCTCCTTTAAAGTGCAGTCATTGTACTTCCCATTTCCAGGATTTAAGTCCAGCTAAATCTATAATAACCAGAAAGTATCGGTATACCAAACAAGCATCATTGTGCTTGCTGTATACCAGTTGACATCAGAGGCCAGTACCAGACATTGAGCTATCTGTGAAGACAAAAAACATTATCCATGGAGGTGAAGAAGGGAATGTGCGAGGGTACAGTGATACCAGCACTCCTATATGGATGTGAAGCATTGGTTGTACATGCTACAGCAGGAAGGAGGCTGGAGATGTCGTGTCTAAGGACAATGTGTGGTCTAAATATCATGCAGTGTAGAAATTAGGGAGAGGTGTGGAGTTGCTAAAAATCTTATTCAGAGGGCTGAAGAGGGATTGTTGAGGTGGTTTGGTCATTTTAAAAGAATGGAGCAAAATAGGATGACTTGGGAGGGGATGACTAGTGGAGGGGAGAAAGGGTAGGGGTCATCCAAGAAAAGGATGGAGGGAGGGGGGCAAAAGAGGGTTTGTGTGCAAGGGGCTTGGACATGCAATAGGCATGTGTGAGCGTGTTAGATAGGAGTGAATGGGAACTAATGGTTTTTGGGAATTGACGAGCTGTGAGCAAGGTGATATTCTGTGAAGGGATTCAGGGAAACTGGTTAGCTGGACTTGAGTCCTGGAGGTGTGAAGTACAATGCCTGCACTTTAAAGGAGGACAATTGGTTGTTTGGAGTGACATCTAAACTGTCATATTTGATTGCCTTGGCAAAGACAGTGATTATGTGTGAATGATGGTGAAAGTGTTTCTTTTTTTTAGGTCACCTACCTTGGTGGGAAAAAGCCAGTAGCTTAAAAAAAAAATCAATGTTTGAGCAAGGTCTGCAGCATTTTAATTCTCTCTTCCTGATTCTTTATTTTGGCTAATAGCACTGAAAGATCTTGATATTATAGTATATATTTTGAAAACTTCATTGTTTGATCACAGTGTGTTTGATTCATTATATCAGTTTAAAGTTAAGGATATAAGGACTTTTCTCTGTGGTTTTTCACCTATAACCTGTACCTAGAAGGGGAACCCTAGGATGACATTTCAGTCCGTCTGGGTTGATAAATATGTAGAGGAGTTGGTAAAAATCATTAATTACATATTATTTACAGAGGTGTGTGGCTATACTAAAGACAGAGGCCCTTGCACCAACTTCACAGTTAAGTGGTTCTTTGACATGGATTATGGTGGCTGTACTCACTTCTGGTATGGTGGATGTGAAGGAAATCTTAACAAATTTAATACACAGGAAGAGTGCAAGTCTGCTTGTGTTGAACCTGAGGGAATGGGTAAGAAAACTAGTACAGTAAATATTTCTTCAGTCACACATTCATTGTCTTTTGAAATTGGAAGCAGTTATCAACTTAAATAATGAAATTCAGACCTCCATAAAAACTATTTAATTTTAAAAGACATGAAATAATAGTCTAGTTTAAAAAATAAAAAAAGCATTAAAAACTTTGTTTATACATAAAAATTAGATATAATGATAGAACGTAGGGCAAGGGCTACTGGGATGTAGGGGAAATATGAAAGGACAGTACATTATTGAAGATAAAATTTCATTCAAGGTGAGCTTAGCAAATCTAATTAAGACTTAATAAATTTTATCTTGAGCAAATTCTTTCTTTGTAATAAAAGTTCATTCTTCCATGTGTGTGTGTTTGTGTGTGTGTGTACTCACCTAATTGTGATTGCAGGGGTTGATTCATAGCTCCTGGACCTACCTCTTCTCTGGTTGCTACCAGGCCACTCCTCCTGCTCCATGAGCTTTATCATATCTCTTCTTAAAGCTATGTATGGATCCTGCCTCCACTACATCACTTCCCAGACTCTTCCACTTCCTGACAACTCTGTGACTGAAGAAATACTAACATCCCTGTGATTCATCTGAGTCTTCAACTTCCAACTGTACTCACCTATTTGTGGTTGCAGGGGTCGAGTTATAGCTCCTGGCCCCACCTCTTCACTGTTTGCTACTAGGTTCTCTCTCTCCCTGCTCTATGAGCTTTATCAAACCTCGTCTTAAAACTGTATGGTTCCAGCCTTCACTACATCACTTTCTAGGCTACTGGTGATCGTCACATGGAATTTTGTCACTGCCGTTAGTTATATGCTTAATCATTGTTTTCAGCTTTTTTCCCCTCTGATATATATAAACAACTTGTTTGGATTTGAAGATAAGAACATAAAGGAGGAACACTGCAGCAGGCCAACTGGCCCATACTTGACAGGTCTTTGTCAAACCCAAACCTACTAACAAAAATGTTCGCCCAACCCATTATGATTGTTACCTGAGGTATGAGCTTTGATAACTCTAATAACTAAAGTGCAAATCCAACCCCTCTCACTTGTGTATTTATCTAACCTATATCTGAAGATATGTGAAATTTCTCATTTAATTCCCGTTTACTGGGGTTTGCGTTTATCCTTCATTCTTGAACCTCGTGTAGAGGGAAAGCTATACAAAGTATCCAGCTTCGTGGCAAGTAACTGATCAACCAAACTGTTCCGTCACTTCCGTTCTTAGGGACTACCAGTCATGTTTTTGTATTCGTTGCGTTTTCTTATCTTTTGTGATATATTATACCTATTGATATTCAGAATATTGATTTTCAATTATTTACACCTTTCCTCTATGTCGTTTATATTTAGTAGCTGGATCTACTTTACGTTGGATCAGAACGACGCACTATCAACATCAGTGAAGATACGTTATTTAAGACTTTAATGAGGTTAAGACGTCTTTTGTTTAGAACGATATCTTGTGTTATTCCTATTATTATTCCTATTATTATTCATATTATTCCCATTATCATTATTCCTATTATTATTCATATTATTCCCATTATCATTATTCCTATTATTATTCATATTATTATTATTATTAATTATATCCTTAGATAAGCTTAACTCGATTTCATCTTCAGAGTTTGCTGCTCGGTACTAAGACAGTCGTTATGTTGTTTTAGATCTAGAAGTTTGTGTTTGTACAGAATCGGATAATACTGTGGCAACAGAGTCTCAGTATTTTTTCACACTACTTATGATTGGATAAAGTGGTCAGAGTAAAATGCGGTGCACTGTTACTACGAACTGAGGTCGTGATAATCTCTTAAGTGCTGCCAGTGAATTATACTAACAAATCTGGATACGTTTTTGGCTGACTGAGAGATTATTCATATTAGGGTTATTAAAGCCCAAATACTTCTGTATTTGGATTTATACCCATTACGAAGGTAACTAAACTTACTTGACTTATTCCCAGAATCTTAACTTCATCTTTCTGCTGCCATGAAGCTACACACATGGCTTCCCTCAAGCAGAGCTCTTGCATTAACTCCAGTACCTAACATGGCTCAGGTCAGGTGTCTTGTTTTTTATGAGAAAGAGAATGAGAGTGGAGCTTTACAACTCTCTCTAGGCTCAAATACCACTTGTTCTGTAGTTTGTTTGCAATCATGTTATTACGATTTCGTGAGTCAGAGAGAAAGAGAGGCTGAAAAGGAAGAAATGCAGATGAGTTGAAAAAAATATAGTGGTGAGAAAATGCAGAAGAGGAAGAAGGGGCCAGCGTCACGATCTCCCTCTCATTATCAGTTGTCTTGCGATTTACCGCCGTTTATCGCTAATTTTCCCAATTATCTCCGTTTTGCTTAATTATGCATTTTTATTGACTTTTTCTTTTATACTTTTTCGTATTAATTTCTCTTTTTAGAGATATTTTTGTGTTGAGCTGGATGTTAATCACGTACTGTCTTCCCTGGCGCTGAGTCACTGAGAGAGGGGAGAAGGAAAGATGAGTAAAGGGCAATAAATGGAGAAGGGAGAGGACTGGAAAAGGGAACCACAAGAAAAGATGGGTGAGGGGAAGACAGGGAGTGGGAGACATGTGTGTGCGTGTCAGCTTCATGTTTGTCAGAGGTAAGGGAAAAAAAACGCCGTCAAATCCACGATAGGGATAGGGTCGAGACTAGGGGAAATATGTGCAAAAAGACACTTAGGTACAGTAGAGTCCTAATGAAGAAGTCACTCGTGGCGAAACGTTTCCTCTAATAAATGTCCTGAACTGTACATAAGTATCTTTTTCCACATCTTGTGGATATGACCATACCGTACTGTGAAGAATATTTACACGTGTCATGAAACATTATGTGGATGCATTTGATTTATAAAGGTATTTATATGTTTGAATAAATAGGGTATTCTTGATTTTGAATATGTCTCGATTTTTTATACACTAGGATGACCACGTATTTATGTGATAAAAGATTTCAGAAAGATCAGGGAAGATTTTGTGTCATTTTGGTACTTGTGGAATATCTGTAGACAGTAAAATAAGTGAAGATAAACATGTTTGACATATTATTGAGAAGGATAAGATGTTAGTGCATTTTGGTGAGTTATATACGTGTACGTGATGCTAAGAGAGCTATATTATGAAATTGCTTTGAACTCTCTTAAATGTAGAAGACTTTGTAATCATTGTTGTGTGATACTGGAGAGAGAGAGAGATGGAGAGAGAGAGAGATGGAGAGAGAGAGATGGAGAGAGAGAGATGGAGAGAGAGAGAGATGGAGAGAGAGAGAGAGAGATGGAGAGAGAGAGAGATGGAGAGAGAGAGAGAGAGAGAGAGAGATGGAGAGAGAGATGCATAAGAGGAAGAGGTTGTGTTTCTGGATGTCTCCTCCGTATGTCATTATTTTGTTACCAGAACCTCGAATGTGTTGATTTGAAGGACTTGCGAGTCATGTACAGTATGATGTTTGGAAGTGGATATATGTATAGTATAATATAACTATTTCTAAATTATTCCATTTATTACATATAGCGTTTGTTATACTAGTATTGCTTTGTTAATGTTGGGGAATTCTTGTAGCCTCATATTTGGTATTGAGACATAGGCGGACATTATAGTCCAGTTAAGTTTATTAATGTCTGGCCTTTATCCGCCAGTGATGTGGTGTTGGAGGTGAGAAACATATATTTACGTTGAAACATAAGGGATGTAAAAGGACGATCACCTGTTCCTTTTGTTGTTGAGTTCCGACATTAGGCCCATTAATATAAGGAAGGGAAGAGGAAGAGGGATGGAGGAGAAAGCTAAGTAAAACAGATACTACAATGACATATGACGACGCAAGTTCAGGTATCACTAGTTTACCATCAGCTCTCCTAGAGGACTCTGCCCAGCACCTGGATGGGTGGCCGTCTGCACACAACTTCGACTTGGCAAAGGAGAACGTCAATAATGCAAGAGTTTCCTGTCCTAAGCAAAAATTGCCTTTATCGTATCCAGACACATCCTTCTTGAGAAAATCTATTTTATCCAGATAAAAGCTCTTAACTCAGGAGAAACTATCCACTTCAAGGAGAACCTAAACTATTCTCAGAAGAAAAGATCCAGATAAAATATCAAAAGAAATTATACACTCCTAAGATAATATAAATTCTAGGATAGACTATCTTATCCAAAGGTAAACGATCCAGTACAAAGGTAAATTTTTCAATCCTAGGTCAACCTATTTAGTCCAAAGAAAACTAATTCAATCCTAACTATCCATACAAAGATAATGTATGCAAAGACAAACTCTCTCTTTCAAAAATTATCAAATCCAAATATTAACTTCCAAATATAAACTATCCATTGCTAAGTGAAGCTAATGAATCCGGAGAGAGACCAATTAGTCCAAAGAAAACTATCCCAGTGAAAAACTATGCAGTCCAATGAGAAAGTATCGAGTCCAAAAACAAACTACCCACTGTACGACATGCTTGGCTCTGCTTTCAAAGCTACATAATCCTACGGGTTTAGTGCTCCCCCTTGATTATAATAATAATCTGCTTTCAAAGCAAGTCCTTTCATAGCCTAACATCTCGGCTATAAATCGAAAATCTCACTTCTCTTTACCGTATGTGATCATGCAGCGCCTGTGGAATGGGAGGCATTTGGACTAGATCCAAGAAAGGGAAGGATAAATCCGGTTTCTTGAATCAAATTTCCCTCACTAGCATCAAGACAAGCAATGGCACCTTCACATTCCATTAGCAGTTCCCATCTTCTAAGTAGGATAAAAAAAAAAGGGCTGAAATTTTGAAGCCGATCAGCAGCGACTTTCTAAAGTTATCACATTGAAACCAATTTTGGGAATGACAGAAAATTAAGCAGAAAGAACCTACACCTACCAATGCTCCACGAACCTTGCCCTAATTATAGCTGATTAGGATTGAAAATTTGAAGCTAATTGGAAGAGGCGTTATTAAGTTATAAACGAAAGTCTTGGAGCAAGTTAGTGGAAGACGAGAACCCTGAACCGAACATCATGATTGACTAGCACAGACTCGTACGAAAACATAGTATGAAAGCGTTCACTAGTTCTTGAAGTTTCATTCGATTTTAAATTGTCTACAATCAAGAAAGAAAAAAAATGTGACCATATAATTTATTTTGATATATTTGATGTTTTAATTATATAATTTATTATTCTTATTTAAAAACTGGCAAATTGAGCCTTGTGCAGTCCACTCGCAATACAAAGGAAAACACATCAGGGCTGAAAATTTGAAGTTGATTAAAGTAGCATTCTTCAGTTATCATAAGGATTCCAACAATTGCAAGTTCTATATTTAGTATATTGATAAATTTGCCCACACACAAACTATACTTAACTGGTGCTATTTTGTCCGTAAGGTGCATCAATCATTAAATGTTGAGGGTATTCGTAAGAGGTAGACTCGTATTTATTGAAGATTAAACAGGAATACAAATTCTGCACCATTTTATGCATGAACTGACAAATGTGCTCTTACACTTTAATTTCACTCTCTTCCACTGGCGTCTTACTGAACGTTGGAATCCAAGCAGCAGATGATTTTGTGAATTATTGGAGCCGTTCCAGTACTTATAGAATGGGTTCTAAAACTTTGGATACTAGGGCGCATGCACCTGCCTATCATACCAAGAATGCTTCCCTGGTTACCGTGCAATGGCGTCAAAAAGTTTAAGTCGTTCTGATGAAGCTTTCTCGTGTTACACTTGTCATACATTATATTAATGATAAATAAAGCGTAAATAATATGGGTTAATACAACAGAGACTTTGTCATTATATCCAACTGACCATGTAATGATTTCCTATCATAATATAAACCATTTGTTAATCATTAATGAATAATTGAACAGTAAACAGACAAAAATCAAATAATGTACAAATTGACGATACACCCAGTCCAAAGAAAAACTAATCACCTCAGAGTGAAACTGCACAATCCACAGAAAGGCAATCCAATGTAATGATGAACTATACAATGCAAAGAGAACTGAAACAAATCAAGAAAAACTCTCCCGTCCCAAAGAGAAACTATTTGATCCTAAAAAGAACCTAAATAAATATAATGGGAAGCCATTCAGATCCAAGAAATACTGTCCGATCAAAACATATTCAGTTCGAAGTATTTAAGCCAAACAGAACTTCTCTTAGCCAAAGAGAACCTATCCTAGCTCAAACATCTATCTTCTGGTATATGTTTTATTTATTTATAAAGCACTACAAAGATTTGACGAGTTCATATTACACGATTCAAAATCATGAGGCAAAATCATTCCAAGTAATAAATTTAATATTCAGAAATTCATATCCATAATTTGTTCATTGTTAATGGTCAAATTTACACGAAAGGGAAATATCCCCAGCACTTATATTGAAAACGATGATAGCTTTGTTGTCAGGTAATCGCTGCGGGGAAGAGGTTTTCTTCCCAGAGACGAGGATTCT